TCTTTCCCATCTCCAGAACACTCGCCACCTACCCCCCATCCCCTCACCTTCGTTCCCGACTGTCAAAGTGGTCCGCAAGATGCTCCTGGGAGATGCGAAAATCCTCAAATGGCTGCTGGTAGCGGGCTTCAAAGGAGCCTTCGCGGGCCCGGCCATGAAACAGCTGGCCTGAGGCATCAGAGCTCCGCTCCCGCAGGGACATACCACCGAAGGGACTGAGGTCGCCGTTCTCCTGCTTCATTGAGGGCAAGTGTGCAAGAGGTCAGCGAGTCCCCCGTACCTCATGGAGGTGGCCGTTCCCACCCCGCCCCGCTAGTTACCTTGGCAGGGAAAATGTCGATCTTGACCAGCAGGGAGGCCAACTCCAGGTCCTCGCTGTAGTTGTTCTTCAAAGGGACCGCTCTGTACCCTAGAGGAGGAAAGTCTGGCCCTCAGCCCCTGAGGGAGCCAAGCCCCCACCCCTGCCCCGTGCTGTCTCTGGGAAGGGTCCTCACCTGTCTTTAGGCCTTTCACTGGGAAAGTAGCCTGAGCCAGGAAGTTCTGATCACTAAACATGTCTTCTTCATATACCACAAAGCGCAGGAAGGCGAATTCAGGGTTACTGATCTGGAAGTGGAAGGGCTTGGCCGGCCACATGGGGTTCAAGCCATTGTCCACTGTGAAAGCAAGGGGAAAAAGCCTCAGGCCACCGCCTGGAGAAGATGGGGTCATGGTGCGAAGGGGTCTGCGGGAGCGGAGCTCTGATGCCTCGGTATCTCTGGGAGGATGAGGAGACGGGGTGAAGGAAGGCTCACCCACAAACTCTGTCTTCTGCTTGGTGCTGTCATACTCAGCTCCAGCCACCTCAATCTCCACAAAGGGACACACAATGCCCCGGCCATTCTTCGGCAGATGCCGGGCGCCCAGAACCTGTAAGGCAGGCAAGGACAGGCGCAGAATTGTCCCTTCTGCTCCCTCCAAGTCCCCACTATGCAGTGGAGACAGTGCGCCCTCTGCTGGGCCCCAAGGACACTGCCCGCTAAGTCCCCAAGAGCAGCTACTGCCAGCAAAAATTCATCTGAAGAGAGCTTTAGAGAAAATTTTCATCTGAGTTTCTGTAATCTACTTCACATTAAATCCATGTCTATTTTAACATGGAAATCTTTTACTTCCCAAGAAAAATAACAGGAATCTCTCTTAGAAGCAGATACTCACCCCGTGCTGTCTTTAGTCCTCCAAGACTGCTCAGGCCCCACCCCCTGAACCCAGCAGCACCAGGCTGAAGTCACAGCTTCTCACCAGGGGGCATCAGGGGTGCTCAAGGACTGCTACAAAGGCGTGAGAGCTCTGGGGCCTCGAGGGGGCGGGAGTCTCCCCAGCCCAGTCTCCTGTGCCAGCTAGCCTATTCCTGCAGAGGAGCCCCTGGCTCACCACTGGCACTAGCTTCCTGCCCGGCCGTCTTCTGCCTACCTCTTCCAGGCAGTGGCTATCCACAACCTGGCCTCACTGGACAGCTGGATTCCTTAGTGCCAGAACCAGCTATGTTTAGCCCAGTTGCCTTTCCATCCAGAGGACAATTATATCTTCCTCAAGCTCAAGTTCAGTCCAGTACCCCTTCCCCAGTCATTAACTAGCACCCCATCCCTGTCTCTTGAACTGAGCTCCTGTAGAGCAGCCCCCATCCCACCCCCCAAGCCTACCTCGATGCAGATGGCGCATGGCTCCAGCCCGCGGAGGCTGCTCTTATCAAAGGGGTCAAAGGCCTCGTCCCGCATGGTGCCGGGCTGCAGCACATAGCCACAGTGCCCACCGGTCATGAAGAGGGCCTGGTTCATCTGCATAGGCTTGTCTGCAAGAGCCAGGTTACAGTGGCCTCCAGCCCCACTGCGCGGGGGGACCCCTACCCGCCCCACAGGGCACCTCCTCACCTGGGGTCTGGAAGTTGAGGGCCACCAGCTGACTGCCACAGATCCACATGGGCAAGGGATCATAGTTGGAAGAGTCCAGCCGCTGGCCTTTGGGGTAGATGCGGGACAGCTGCAGCCGGTTGTACTGGAGGAACTTCTTGCCTTTGGCCTTGTTCACGTATTTCTCAGCCTTGGTTTCCGGGAAGGATGACATGTCGCGGTAGCAGGCGCGTTCTGTGCCAATCTCTGGGCCAAACAGGGAGAACACTTACAGAGCCTCTCCCACCCAGGCAGTGCTGGGGGGCCAGCTCCCCATCTGCCACATTAAGGGACAAAACATTTCTCCTGCACCCGCTCTGGAGGGCACCCACACACATGCACACCCCGCTGGGCCTTACTCTCTTCATCAAAAGGAACAGGCCGGCAGTAGACGACAAGCTCAGACAGCTCCAGGGCGATCTTCTTCCTCCGTTCCATCATCTTCCCCTCAGTGAGCTGCTGACACACACCAGACCCTGCAGCCCCCGGCCAGAGAAGGAAACTCCCGCCAGCCTTGGGCAGTCCCCATGGCAGGTGTGCTGGGCCCTCCCCTGCCCACGGGACAGTGAACAAGCGCCCTCTATCCTCGGCCTCACCCCAAAATCATCCTCTCTCTTCTCTACCCCTGAAGACAAACCTGTCCTCCAAGACACTCAGAGGATGGGACCTTCGCTGCCACACATGCCCCAGTGACACTTTGTGACCATTTAGCACCCAGCTCCCTCAGGGAAAAAGGCCACTTCCTGGTTTCCCTGTGACTTCACTGGGGACTCGGGCCTCTAGCTCAGTCTTCTGCACCCTACGAACCATCCTTCCACCACCCCGGCCTAAAAGCCTCACCTCTGCATCCCCCCGTTCCAATGCAACCATCTACTTGCCATGGCCAAGTCTCAGTGACAGAAGCCCACTCAAGTGTCCCCCGCTCCTATCCTCTTTACCCGTGGAGACCCACTCTCCCATCAGGAGCTCCTATACACAGGCTCTTCCTTCCCCCTTTCAGCCTAGACCCCGGATCCACCCACCCCTTACCACCTGGTCTGCCAATCCGTCCTCACAGGCCACAGCTCTATAGCCACAGTCCTCAGCACCCACCCCTTCTCTGCCCGGCTCACGGAGGCCCGTTCTCCGAAACAACTGCAGGTCTGTTCTGTGGCCCCTCCACTCTCCGCCAAATGGCTGGGGGAAACAGCACCCAAACCGTAACTCCCTTACTTTGTGACTACTTCCTTCTCTCTGTTCCCTAGGCTTACTGGAAGGCGCCTCCTCCTCCAGAGGCCGGTGCTGCTACCTGCTCTCACCTCCCGCTGCCTCCTTCAGCTGTTGGCACTAATGCCTACGGGATCCCAGCCCTGCGTGCCCTCTGCTCTCTCCCACAGCCAGGCCCTCCAGACCGGCCACTCTACCGTCCCCAATGCCCATGCCACCCAGCCACAACTCTGACATGGCTCTTGGTAGTATCACCAGGGCCGTTTGCTGCTGCTAAATCCGGTAGGCACTTTCAGGTTCTTACTGAGCCTATGTGTCCCTCCCCAGCCCTCCACACAGTAGTACCCCCGCTGCCCCCAGCCTCCCCGCTGCCTGCCCTTCCCCGGCTCTTCTTTCTACTCTACACTCTTCATCCATCCAGAGCCTCTTCTGGCCCAAGACATGTCCACCTCTGCCTTGTGTATCTGTCCACCACGCAGACCCACTTGGCTGTCCCACACACATCAGCAAGTCCTAAATGTGCCACGTCACTGACTGCTCGTCTGTTCCCTCCAGACCCCTGTGCCTAGAGGCGGGAGCTGGAGGCCTCGGCCACCTGACAGGCTCCCACAGGGCTCCCACGGGGCCCCCAAAGGGCCCACCCAGCACCCCTGTGGGCTCCAGCGGGTTCTCACCCTGGCATCTGCGGTCTGAGCCACTTCACGGATCTTTTTCACCCAGTCCTGCAGCTCCTCTTGTGAGTCAGCAGCGACATCCAGGGACCACTGCGCTGATGCCATACTGATTGAGAAGACGAACAGTCGATTGTTCTTGCCCTCGGGACGGATGGCTGAGGGAGCAAGAGAAGACACTTTGATGTCCCTGCACTGGCTCCACTGAGTTCCCTCCTCCCCGCTCCTCCTCCCCACAGCCCAGAGGGAGGCAGTGCCGCTCTACTAGGCCCGTTTGACAGCTGAGGACAGCCAGTCTGGCCGACGCAGACCTCTAACCTGGGCCCTAGGTTATCTTAACCCTCTGTCACACCCTGCGACCCAACCACTTAGGACTGTGGATATTACCCGGCCATTATCATCATCCACAGTGCCTGGCCCAGGGAGAGCATGCAGGGTCAGAGCTAGAGTACCACAGGGGTGTCCAAGTAGGGGAAGAGCTGAGTGAAGGCAGCGTTTGGGGTCCCAGCCATCAGCCTCCCCCTGCTCTTGGAGCATGGAGAGACCCACGAAGGAGCGCCCGACTCTGAGGAATAGTGGGTGAGAAGAAGGGACAGGGGCTCACCAATCTGACAAGCTGGAACATCCAAGACCCCCCGCAGTAAGTCCCCCAAGGGGCTGTTCTCGTCCAAGTGCTGTGGGAAGCAAAGCCCACAGGCTTGTCAGCATGTCTCCTATACACGTGCATGTGAGAGAATGTCTGTGTGCACGTGACAAATATATCTTACAAGTGTGCATGTGTCTATAGATGTGGCATGTGTACACTGGAGACCACGAGCACCACAGGGTGTGACGATCACGTGCTGGGTGGCTATGCGAACACAGGCACGCCTGACACCGTGACGGGTGTGTGCACAGGCGAGAACTGGGATGGGAACCCTGTTCCGCCAATCAACGTGGCTCTGTTCTCACCTCCCTCTCAGGCTCCAGGGCCGCCGGGCTGACCATCTCTTCCACGTAGTTTGACGGGAACCATAGCTGCTTCTTCCCACCATAGTCTCCCCGCCACCTGTGCAAGTAACAGGGTGCTGACCCCAGCAACCACCCCAAACTCCCACAAGGAGGGCATCCCTTGACAGGGACCCCTACGCTAAAGCCAAGCCAAGGTGGGTACTGCTAGTACACGTGACAGGCGCCCCACACACGTCCATCAGCACACAGAGCCCCTCAGTGTCAGCGTCTGCCAGAGCTCGGTCCACCCCGGCTCTCCGGCCCGGGCCCCCAGCTCACCAGCCTCCCTCCTGCTTCTCCACGTTCTGGATGATGGCGCTCTTGGTGAAAGTCAGCTCATCCTCTCTCTGGGCCTTGTAGTCAAAGAGGGCTTTGACCGCACACTGCAGAGGAGAGATGCCCCCATGACAGTGCAGTCCCTCCCGGCCAGGGCTCAGGTACCAGCAGGTGCCACTGCTGGCAACGTACCCTAGTTACAGTCCTCACCACCTTACTGGAAGGCGCTGGCCTGCAGGAGGCTCCAGGACAGACGTGACTGGGGACAGAGTCCAGCATCTGACAGGGAAGTTCCTTGGGGTCCAGGTGGAACTTTGCAAGGCCCTGCCCCGGGCCACGGGGAGAACCGTGAATATGCCCCTGGGAGTCAGTGCTGGCGGGCCGGGAAGGGAGTGTCTGCAGTGACCCGAGTGCCTCCCCAGGGACCTGGCAGCCTATGGGAATGGCTGGGACCCCACTGTTCTGAATCTGAAAAGTAGGAGCAGGAACCTTCTCCCAGGCTCCCTGGCTGCTGAGAATGGGGTGAGAAATGGCACAGCTTCTTACCCCTTAGAGAGAAAGGTAAAAAGAGGAAAAGCCTGTCTGACAGATCCCCACCACATGAGGGAGGGAGCGGCAAAGACAATTCTCTGGCACATGTCCCCAACCTTGCTGCCACTCAAGGAGGAAACGGGTTATTACCCTGGGGAGCAGTCTGAAAGGTTAGTGCCGACCCCAGGGACAGGCTGGGTCAGGGGCCGGCCCTCAGAGAGCTGTGGTCATACACCAACCGTGTATCTCTCACCACCCCTCAGGCCTCAGAAAACCACAATCACCACTTCTCCACAAAGACCACAGCTGGGCCCTGAGCAGGAACATGCAAGCCCCGAGCAGCTGGGCGGCTTCCCCAGCTTCCTCTGCAAAGGCCCAAAGCTGTACCTTGAAGGTCGGCATCGGGTTTGCCTCCACGTAGAAGCCAGGGTTACGTCCCTCGTACAGGGCCCCATAGTCCGGCTCCTGGAAACAGGACAAAATGGATATGTTAACACAGAGATGGAAGCGCGCTGCCTTCCCCGCCAGTACAGCTGCTGCCAAGTCTGCCCCCTCCACTGGCACCTGGTTCCCCTACCTTAGTGGAAATGGCTGACGGGGCCTGGCCTAGCCCTTTCTCTCTCCACGTGCTCACGCTCAGCCTTGCGACCCACCCCATGATTCTACACTCACTCGTTTCCTGAAGGCCCACGCCGGGCCCCAGATCTGTGTGGCAGAGCCCCTGCAGGCACCGCACAGGCAGTGTTCTTGTTCAGCAGCTCACTCATGTACCACTGAGCCCGTCCCCAGTACACGCCCCTCCACCACTCCAGCCCCAGGCCCCAGGGGATGGTAGTCTTCTCCCTGGCCACCACTGTCCACTGATGACAACAGTCTCAAGATCTCCTGTCCTAAACTCCTTCCTTCTATCCAAGGCCATGATCTCAGTCCAGAACCCTCATCACGCCCTGCGCCATCAGTCCGGCCTTCTTTTCACTAGTCTCACCCCTGTAGCTCTGCCCTCCACAACTCTTCACGACCACTTCTGTAGCCTACTCCATACCCAGCTGGAAAAGCCTCAGGCCTACCCTCTCCCTGGGTGGGCTCCAGGACCTCTGCACCCCACACCTTGGCTCATGGGGGACCTCTCCGCTTGAATACCCATTCTCTACTCCTTCACCTGCCTAACTCATGTCCATCTTTGTAGACAGGACTCAGATGCCACCCCCTCCACGACACTTTCCTAGCACCCCCACCACAGCTCCCAGCTGGGCTGAGTGGCCCGCCCACTCAGGAGGCCCTCCCTCCCAGGAGCTCCTACATCACCAGTCCCATCCCACACGTCTGGATTATCCATGAGAGACTTTGGGCCCGCCCGGCAGCTGGTCTCTCCCTTGCCTGCCACCCCCTGAACCACCGGCCCTCACAGCTGTGCCAATCTTCTCCAGCGCCTCCTCATTGATGGGGTAGCGCAGCTTCATCTTGCGGTACAGCGGGTGCTTCTCATAGTAGCTGATGAGGTCGACGAGGCTGTCGAACTCTGAGTTACCCAGCATCACTGTCTGGCCCTCCTGCTGGACACGGCAGTGCTTGATCTTGCCCTCAGCCCTTGAAAAAGGAATAGTGACACAGGGTCAGGGTGACCTGGACCCAGGGGTAGCCCAGCATACCTCCAGCAGCCCAGGGCCACACCCCTCACCGGAAGGAGATGGCGTAGGAGTTGGGCTCATTCCGTTTCCGCACCAGGAAGGCGCCATCGCGGGGGACACGCATCAGCATGTGCTCAGCCTGTGCTCTGGTCAGGCTTGCATGGTACCACCTGAGGAGAGGCCCAAGTCAAGCCCCGCTATCACCACTTAGAGGCACCTCCGCCCCGCCCCGTCCAGTCCCCGCCCTCACTCCTTGCTCTCGTGGGCATTGGTCTGTGGCACAGGCTCCGACAGGCGCATCTCGAATTCGTTGCAGCGCAGGGGCACCTGCTGGTAGTGCGTGATGAGGTCGTAGAGTGAGTCGAAGACGAGGTTGTCTGTCAGGAAGAACTTGGGGGTCCCAGCGTCTTGCCGGGAGTGGATCCGGCAGTGTTGGACCTTCCCGTTCCGCCTGAGGGAAGATGGGGAGGCGGTGAGAGGCGGGCCCGAGCCCTGAACACGCCACCCCAGGCGAGACACCACGTCTCAGAGGGAGGCGGGCCTCCTGAGGAGCTCGGGGACTGGGCAGCCCTGTGGGAGGACAACCGCCACTAACCGAAAACATGTGTGTGAGTGTGCGTGTGAGTATGCACATGACGAAGTAACGTTTCACCCGAAAGCCTGGAACGAAAGACAAGCTGGACCCCAGCCATCTCGGGGGAGTGCTGGACCCACGCGCACAGCGCTGGGAGTGGGTTACCAGAACGAGAGGGTGTAGTCGCCCACGAAGGTCTCGCTCTCGCGCACCAGGAAGGAGCCATCAGGGGCCCCGGTCTCAATGCAGTACTCGGTGAGCAGGCGCTCGGCGATGTGCCGCCCGTCCCGTCCTGCCCCGAGCTTCCCGTGGAACCACTTCTCGTTGGAGTGCAGCTCTGTGCTGCTACTGGCCTGCGAGGGGAAGGGCCACAGCAAAGACTCAGCGACTCTGAGCCCAGCCCGGCTCCCAGCCCTGGGCCGGCCCCTCACCTCCTTGGGCTCTTCCTCATCCTCGTTGCCTTGGTCACTGCTGGTCTCCTCAGAGTAGTAGATCTTGCTGCTGGTCAGAACGAAGTAATGGGGATACCACTCCTGGAAGAGAGCGAAGCGGGGCCTGTCACAGAGCCCTTCTACCACCTGGCCCCCTGGCCCAGCCTGGCCCGGCCCTCACATGGTTCACGGGGTCCTCTAGGTAGAGGATGCCATTCTTGATGGAGTTGCTGATGTCATTCTCAGAGTACATGACAGACGTAGGCACCTCCTCGTAGGCACTGCCCTCAGCCAGCTTCTTGTGCTGTGGGGGGGAAGGCCAAGACATAGCAGTGCCAGCCCCAGTCCCAGAGCCCCACCTCCTCACCCAGGCCTTGACCGACAGCTGGAGCAATGGCCAGGGGAGGCGTTGGGAAGTGTGGGGCCCCCACCTTGATAAGGATCTTTCTCTTCAGCTGGCTGGGTGAAGGGAGCCCGTCGGCAGCGATGTCCACGGGCTTGGTGAGGAGTGTGTCCCCAAGCACCTTCTTGAAGTACTGGGCCATGTTCCTCTGCTGGGCAATGCTGCAGTGGTCCTCGATAGACAGGATGACTGGGTACCTGCAGGGCAGGGCAAGTTCTGTGAGGTCAAGGGTCAGTCTAAACAGCCCCTCGCAGAGAGAGATGTTAGCCGCCAAGGGCTTGGGAGTCCTGTCTACAGGGGAGCTACCTCAGAGAGGCAGGCCAGCCCTGGCCACTAGCAGGTGGAGGGGGTGCTGCAGAAACAAAGGGGTGGGACTGCAGCAGATGGGAGCCCCCAGAGTTGGTCCCATTATGGAGGCTGCCCCCGCAGTGCAAGAGAGACATCCCAAACCAAAGAGGTCAGGAGACAGGAGAAGCAGCCTCCAAATCCAGCTACTGGGCTCTGGTGATCTCTTCAGTGCAGTGGGAGAGACCATGATCACAGGCTGGGTGAATAAGAGTCGTAGAATGTGACACAGGGAACACAGACACTTCTCTGGGCTGTGAAGGGAAAGAATTTGGCAGGATACTGATCTAAAGAGATCAGGGTTAAGCAACTATTTTGGGGGGATTGAAAAACTTGATCACGTTCCATAAGCTAAAAAAAAGGACCCGTGAAGAGACTGGGCCAAAAATGCAGGAAAAAGGGTAACCTGAGAAGCAAAGCCTCAAGCCAGCAGCAAGGGAGGAGGAAAGGAAGGTGAGAGACTGGTGGCATGGGGACACAGCATTTGAGGGGAGCCTCTGCCTTCTGTCATAGGAGAGAGCTGGAGCCAAGCCGAGCCTGGGTCTCCCACCCCCACTCACTCTGAGGCCACAAAGGCGTGCTCCTTGATGGTGTGCAGGACATCGGAGAACTTGATCTTGGTGGTCAGCGTGTGTCCATGGTAAATGACTGGCATCCCATCTGGGCCGTCCCAGCAGTCCACTGGGGAGCAAAACAACCAGTCAAGCAGGCAGGCCTCCCATCTTCCTCCCCCAGCCCCGGCCCCGGCCCCAACGCACATTCGATGCAGCGACAGCCCATCCGCAGGCAGCGAGCATAGGCTTCCAGGGAGGACTCGCTGGAGAACTGGTCCCCGGTCAGGTACCTGAACAGGCAAGGAGAAGGCAGGGTGGTCAGGCGAGCCCCCTCCCTCCCAAGGTCGGGCTAGGTGGGGTCGAGGGAGCAGCTCACGTATTGTGCGAGGAGGAGATCCAGTAGTGGGAGAGAGGGTTGTGCATGGTGTCCGGGCACACCGCATCCAGCTGTGAGTTCCACACACTGTTCTCTTTGGAGAACAGGAAGGTGACAAACTGCCCAGGAACAGATGTAGAAGAGAAGAGAAGAGAAGAGAAGAGAAGAGAAGCTGAGCCCCTGCCCTAGCCCACCGGCATGGGGGTGGTAGGAAGCAGAGAAGGTGCTCAGTCTCAACTGGGGTGGGCAAAGCTGACAGTGGTGGAGAAACAAGGTGGCACCCCTAAGGCAAATCTGGCTCCTGGAAACCAGGTAGGGTGCTGGTCAGCCGCCCATTCTCTCTGACAGAAGGGCAAAAGCTAGAGCTCACCTCATCCAGGCAGAAGTAGGGCTCCTCAATCTCTCGCAAGGGGTCTCGGAGGAAGCTGAGCATGAACTCCTGTACTTGGAGCCGGTCGACAGCCCATAGCTCCTGATAAGGGCAGGCAGAGTGGGGGCACATGAGGGGCTCCAGTCAGAGATGAGCCCAGTCCCCCGCAGGCAGGCACCCCACCCAGTCCCAGGACAGCCATACCCCCTGGTACTCCAGGAGGAACTGCTGGAACTCAGGAAGAGACACTCGGCAGAGCTCTGGCCGCTCCCCCACCCTACAGAAGAGAAGGGAAGTGCCTGACGGCCAGCTGGCTAGCATGGTCCAGACAACGAGGGGCCCCTTAGAAGGCAGAGCCCAGCTCCCGGCCAGCACAGCTGCCCAGAACAGTCCAGCATGGCTCACCCGCTCCCACTGCCTCCCATCTGCTTAGGGAATCACCCAAGGAGAGCCCCACCATCCCAATCCAAACCAAACCTCAGGGCACTGGCTTCCAAGAAGGGGAGGTCCATCTGCAGGAAACAGAACCTGGTCAGAGTGAAAGCCCCTGGGCGGCCACATGGGGAAGGGGTTCTCGGGAAGGAAGGCGAGGGCAACAGATGGGGGCAGGTGTCAAGAGGAGACGAGCTGGAGAAATGGCACCCAAAAGTCCCCAAGAAGGGCATCAGGGCTGAGGCAAGCAGGGCTGGGGTGGGGGTGGGGGGGCAGGGACAAGGGCCGTGGTGGGGCAGGTGGCTCATGCACCGTCTTCTGGGCGCTGTACATGAGGCTGCGGTACAGCTGAGCAAACTGCCCATAGGTGATGTCACTGCTGCGCTGCTCCAGGTCCTGCAAGGTACACAGGAAGACCTCTGGTCAGGCCCACCAGCCAGGGGCTCCCGGCCTCCCCCGCCCCACCTGCATACAGGCTAAGAGGACCCTACCGTCAGCCGCTCTCGGAGGAAACGCATGTTGGGGACTCGGTAGTTGACCTGGGACAGCATGTTCTTCAGGTCCTTGGCTGATATACTGAGAAAACAGGGGCATCTCCAGTGGCCTCATCCAAGCTCTCATGACCTGTGACCAGCAGGCTAAGCCCACCACTAGCTAGACAGGTAAACAACACTACTCTGAGACCTGCAGTCCTGAGGGAGAGGCTGGATCAGAGCCCTGGGGTGACCAAGGGAAGTCCTTTCTTTTCTCTGGACCTCAGTTTCCTCCTCTGAGCAAAGAAAAGCCCATGATTCTGGCAAGGAAAGAGTTTTTTGTGACCAGGCTCAGAAGTGGGATGGAGCCTCTCACCAACACTGCTCAAGCCCACAGCCCTGGCCCATCTGGACAGAGGGAGGTGGCCACTGCTGCACTTCCAGGCTCCCACGGGGCTCACTACAACCTCCCTGTGAGGGTGGCTGGGCAATGACTCCGCCCACAGCTCCAGGATGCCAGGAGTTCAGGCCTCAGCAGAGGCACTGGGGGACGAGGGGAAGGCCACTCTCAGCCAGACACCCCTAAGACTGGGTGCCCACCTGGGGTCTGAAAGGAATGTGCCTTGACCAGGACGTGGGGCAAGGGGGCGCTGCTGGGCCTAGCACCAGAATGGAAAAGATTGGCGGGAAGGAGACTCTCTCTCCTGGAAGGTGATGTCAGGGAGGGGACATCCTCCTCCTCCTCCTCCTCCTCCTCTTCCTGCCCAAGAGCCTGGCAGGCCATCCCCCAATTCCATGGGGAGTCAGCCAGTGCTGAGTGGTCCTGGCTGCCATCAGCCAGTGCTGCTCAGCAGCTCTGGCTCTGAGCAGGCAATGGCCGTCTGACTCTCAGTCACTTGGGAGGTAGGCTGTCAGGGTCCTCATTTTGCAGGTTAAGAAGCCTGTTCCATCACCAAGCTTTCCCTCCGTGGACTTTGCCATCAGCATTACAAACAAGCTGTTCTTCGACCAAAAACACCTGTCTTGCCCCTGCTCACCTCTCCGGCTACTGCCAGCCTCTCTTTGAAGGAGCCATCCATGTTCCCGTCCATTCCCTGAACCCCCTCCCACTCTTCTATTGACTGTCTCAAGGTTACCAACCACCTCTGTGCTGTTAAGTCCAAGGGACCTCTCTCTATCTTTGCCATCCATATTTGACAAGGCCTGACACGGCCAACTGCTCCCTCTCCCCGGGCTGCCGGGATGCTACGCCCTGGGTGTTCCTCTTACCTCGCGCGCTGCTACTTCTCTTGGTGCGTTCTTCCTCCCTCCCCAGCCCCCGGCATCTGAGCAGCCCGGCCTCAGACACCGGCCTCTTTCCTTTTTCTTGCTACGCTTATGCCCAGGTGATCTCCGGCCTCGTGGTGTTCCATACCATCTAAATGCTCCCCAGGTAACATCTCTACCCCAAGTTCTCCCTAAACTCCCACCTACCCATCTGCCTACTCAACGTCTCTACCTGGACATCTAAGGGAATCAAACAACTTAACACAGCCCAAATGAACTCCTACACTCCCCCGAATGTGCTCCTCCCACGGCCTTCCCCATCTGTTAATGGCAGCTCCACCTTTCCAGATTCTCAAGCCAAAAAGGTGTCATCTTTAGCTGTTCTCTTTCACTCACGCCCCCAAATCAATCTGTTAGGACATTCTACAACAGACATTCTATCTTCAAAATACGCTGTGGCCAAAATACAACCACTTCCTACCACCTCCGCTCTGACCCAAGCCCTCTCACCTTCCACCTGGACTGTTGCAAGTTACTTCGTAACTGAGCTCTCCGGCTCTGCCCTGCCTCAGACTCTCCCCTAGCGGCCAGTAATCTTATGCAACTAAAGTCGGGGTGTGTCACACCTCTCTTCCAGGCCCTCCATGGTTCTCCATCCCCTTCACAGAAACAGTCAAAAGTCCTTGCCTGGTCTTTGTTCCCCATCTCTCCTTGGCTCCTCTGGCTATCACGCCACATCCTCAAATCCGTGAGCTTCAAGGCACCCCCCTCACACACTACAGGCCACCCTGACCCTCTTTCTAGGACAGACAGAGCCAGTTCTGCACTTCCTGTCTCCACCTACAATGGCAGGGCAAACAGCTTATTGTCCCTGGCCTCTCCCGCCAGCTTGCACCATGGCCATCAGAGGGCTTTCTGCAGGAAACTACTTGTGCCAGAACCACCAGCCCCACTTGAGGCAGGTCCCCTGGGTCCTCTGGTTCTCCAGGAAACTGCTATGAGGCATGGCTACTGTTGTGGGTGCCACAGCTCAGAACCTACCGATCCTCACGATTCCGATCCACCGAGTAGAACTGTTTCCGCAGCCACCTGGAGGGAGAGGAGCCTACAGTAAGGGCCACTCCTCCAGCCGGGGCCACGCCTGGGGAGATCAGCAGGCAGTGTCTGGGCACACAAAGGCCTCTGCTCCCTGCTCCCACAAAGTCAGAGTGGTTCTTACCTCTCAATCTGCAGGGGTGTAGCTGCCTGCAATGTATCCTCCATCAGCCAAGTCAAGCCCTTGATCCACATGTTCACTTCATCCTCAGATGTAGCTGTGAGTAAGGGATGAAGAGCTGAGCCAAGGGCAAACACCTCCCGCTGAGCTGGGGAGCCAGGGGACATTCCTTAACTCCCCTGCCTCCTCCAGCCTTGCCTCCCACCTTGCAGGCTCAGGGTCTTCAGGCGGAATTCCATTCCATACAGGATGACAAAGCAGTGTGACTGGTCCGGTCGGAAAGCAGGGTCCTCTTGATAGCGATCGAAGTCTCGTGAGGTCTTCCCTGGGCGGATCTCCTTGATTTCACGAATGTCAACTAGGAAGATAGAGAAGAGGTCAAGGTCAGGCTGGGGTCTCTGAGACTCAGCATTGAAATCAGGGCAGCCTGGTTTCTCCACTCATTCCCATGCTCTCCCTCATGGAGAGACCACAAAGAGACACCCTCCTCAAGAGGCAGAACCAAAACCACTCACAGTCCCACTAGGTAACAAAAGGGAGCTGGGCTGCACCTAAGCACGGACCTCTGCTAACAGCTGAGAGGTCTGGGCGAGCTGTCTGGGGGAGGAAGGAATTCCATTCTGTGTACCTTCCCTTGCTGAGAACACAGGCAGGTCACTCTGACCTGGAAAAAAGCTGAACTCTAGAAAGAGAAATGCGGACCCAAGGCTGTTTTGTGAGTACCATTTCCTAACACAAAGTACAGAATCCAAACCGTACAGTCCCAAGGGTGGGGTGGGGCTGGGCAGGCCCAAATGGCCATGTCTCAGGATCCATGGGAGGAAACAGGGGTCAGATCCCAAGAAATGGCGCACCCCTCAATCATCCATAAGCAAGTCTCATCAAGAGGCCTAGCCAGTCCTGCAAGGCAGTAGCTATCCACGGTTACGTTTCCTATCCTGGCTATCGAAGCCCTGCACACACCCCGTGCCCTCACACAGCACAGATCCGGGAGCACAGGCCTGAATGACAGACACCGGTCTCGGCCGCTAGCTCCAGAAACGATGCCTAGTGTCTAATCTGAGTTCTCAGTCTCAGTTTTCCATCTATAAAGCGAAGGGCTCGACTGAATTTCTCTAGAAGCAGAGTGGAAGGAAAATCATGCACGGGCTCCAGGGTGAGAGTGCCTGGACTAGAACTCCAACTCAGGTCACATCAGCTGTGTGACCTCAGCAGAGTGACAACTACTCTGACCCCACTGTTTCGTCTGTAAACACAGATAAGCAACAGCAGCATCATGAGGGTGTTGCTAAGATCAAAAGTCCTAATAGCCAAGGCGCCCAGCCCAGGCCACGTAGGCGGTGTGGCAGGAGCTCGCTCAGTGCCGACTCCCTCACCAATCAATGTCTGCTTGGGCACGTTCTGATCCCAGGCCCAGAGAAGGCTGACCGCGGCCGCAGACCCACTCTCTCCCCTAGTGTTGGCTGGGACCTTGGACAGAAGGCAGACTTTTCAGGCCAGATAAAGAGAGATTTAGGGAGGATCCAGTCAAACGGAAGAAGCCTGGCTCAGCCACCAGATAACTCTATCTGAGCACTTCCTCAGCTCTAGAGTCTCTCTCCCCACACACGCTCAACCAGGCTGGCCCATAAGACCTGGAGCCAGGAGCAGTGCCAGCATGCCGCCCGGCCAGCCTCCACCCCAGGAGCCCTCCCAGCCTAAACTGCACTCCCCCCTGGCTGCAATGTCCTAAGGGGCCTAAATCCCCAGGCTCTCTTCCTGTCCCTCTAGCTGCAGCTGTGCCCCATCCATCCCACCTTGGACAGTGGCATGGCTTCTGGCCTCAAGCCCAGCTCCCCAAACACACACTGCTGGTTCTACAGGCCTGCTCTCATGCCCTCAGCAAACTCCTTGGTCTGGTTGTCCAGCTGAGAGCCCTGACTTTCCTGCCCGCTGCCCTGGCCCCCAGTTCTCCTCACCAATCAGCCATCCTTCCTGAGTCTTCTGGATCTTTAGAGAACATTGCTCTGATCCCTGCCCACGTTGCTCACTTAGGAGAATGTTCCTTTTCTGGCCTTCCAGGCTCTTTGTGATGGGGCTCAGTGATTTACCTTCCCAACTTCTGTCCTCCCATCTTCTCTGCTACATTCAAACTAAGCTGGACCAATGGCAAGAATAGCAAGTACTCCCTGTCCCCTACTTTGTCTTTGTTCCCAGCTGTGGACCATCTACATCCTGGACTCCAGTTCCACCAATGACCCAACTTGGAAGCTCTCATGTGCAGTAGTCATAGTAGTCATTGATGTCTAGTGGCCAGGTGTCAAGGGTATGCCTCATCTCCCCCTAGGCCAGGGAGGGCCCTTCCAGTTCTTGCTCAATGTCTGAATGAACAAGTGAAAAAGGCAGGCACACAGGTACGGGGAGGGGCAACAAAATGAGAGTGGAGTTTTAAAAATGAGGAGTTGTACTCAGGTAGAAACAGGAATGGAGGAAACTGAGTCACAAAGGCCCAGCCTAGAAAGACACAGTTTCCAAGGATGAAAGGAGGAGCTGAACAGGGGAAATGCCCAGACGAGAAACTGCAGAATAACCACAAACTCTGCCCTTTGAAACAGAAACCAACATGCTTTTCCGGTACAGAGCTGCTGTCATCCTCCCACATCTCTCACACAGGCACACCACCTCACACACACAAATGCACATCGGCCAAGGCCTTCGTGGTCCACGGCCTGGGCCCTTCTTCTCAGCTGCCCTCCCTCCCCGTCATGAGAGGTAGTCCACAATATGACTACCACCCAGCAGGCAGCGGGAAGGTGAGTACGAAGCCTGCTGCCAGGCCACATGCAGCCACTCCGCACGTGTGCGCATGCACGCATGTACGACACACTGCCAGCAGGCCCTAGGTGAACCTCTGGCATGTGTTCCTGGGCACATTTCTACTGAGACCAGGCTGGAGGCAGAATAAGTTCCCACCCAAGACAGGGACCAACCAGGATGGCAAGAGCGGCTCCAGGCCAGGCTGACTGATGCCCCAGGCAGAAGCCTCGGGGCCTTGGTGGTAATTTGCCTCCTCACGTTCCTTCAGGAAGCCGGGCTGACCATCGCCTTCCTGAAGGCTGCCCAGGCCTAGCTAGCAGATAAGTACCACAGAAGTCTTACCTTCTAGCTGTGTGGCCCTGGGCAGTCCCTGCCTCTTTTGGCCTCAGTTTCCCCATCAGGACACTGGGAATTCTTTCTATCTCACAGGACTGCAGCCAAGGACCACTGGTCCCTGTGAAGTCTGCAGGAGCCTGCCCCTGCCTGTGTGCCTAGCGCCATCAACACTGGTCCTATATAAGCCAGCAGTAAGGGGGGGCAACTGTGGCCATCTACCAGGGCTTCGCTGGGGGCAAACCCATACTTAGGAGAGTTAAAGCCAGGCCACAGCTATCTCAGCCCAAGGAAAAGAATCCAAGAAGCCACTTCCCTAGCTCAGAATGAGGTCTGGCAGGGATGGGACACAGTGGGGGAGCGGGATTTCTGAGGCTCTGAGTTCAGATCAGTGCGTGTTGCAGCCACAGCACCCCATCATCTTGCATACAGCTTGATATCAAAACAGAGACTAACAGATCTGAAATCACAAAGACCAAGTTTCAAATCCTGTTTCCCCACATGTAACTCGGGTCTTGGGCAAGTCAGCTTTCTTCTCTGGTAGGTCGTGAACAAAGAAAAGGCTGCAGTGGGGATGGGCCTGCCAAAAACCCTTCACATGCGGACAACTACGCAAAGACAGCCACATGGGAGTCAGCCTTGGCCTGCCCTGACCACCCCCAACCTTGGATTGGTTTTTGTTGTGGTCTTTATGCAGAAGAAAATGGGCTCGCTGCCCGGCGGCAGGGGCCGGCTCTAAGCACTGACACAGAATGCCACAAGACTGATCTGCTTCTATGACTAGGCAGGGAGACCCTCCTTTCTCTTGGCCCAGAGACAGACTCCTTGCCAGCGACCACAAAGACTAGAGACGACCAGTTACTCAGAGCAGAGTGCCCAGGTCATGCAGACCTGGAGAGCAACTGCCTTCCAGACATACCAGTAATGGCGGTCACCTTCTCTTTAAGAGCTCTTTTCTTTATCTGAGCCACAGAACTGACCCAAAGCACTCTGGGAGCTATACAACTAGACAGCAGCAAAGGGTACTGCTACTCTCAGGGACAGCTTAGAACTTGCCTCCACCCCTATGACAGCACCCACTGTCCTGAGGGGGTGCCATGAAGGGGACAAGCTAAATGGCAAGCAGCCAGTCTGGAGCCTGGGAAGGGGGAGAGGATAAAGAGCACAGAAGACGAGCCTGTGCTCAGCCCCTCTGAAGGTAGGGCTGCTTCCTGTCTTGGAATCCTGCTCCCCATACTCCCTCCCAGACATCAGGCCAAGTCACAAGGCCCCACCCGCCTTCCCCTGCCCAGTGTTTCGGGATGGCTACTACAGGGATGTGCATGGAGCAGCATTCCTGTCAACCATGTAGAGCCCAAGGACAACAAAAAGCCCAGAGAAGAGAGGGGTAGCAAGAATAGGGCACCAAGAATATTTCAGCCAAAGAGAGGCAGCCAACCCTGCTCCAAGGGGGTAGAAATATGGCTTTACCCTACCAGAGTGGGCCCTAAGAATGGGAGGAGCCCAAGCATCAAATCCAAGACCCTAAATTAGACCTAAGTTTCTTGGTCAGAAAGCTGTGTCCTCGCATCCCTTGCCTTCGAAGAAGCCACTTTCCACATGGCCCCACAATGACTGGCCCATCAACCGCTCATCAGGCAAGGAAGACACATGGTGAAGAATCGTGAGCAAAAGCACGGGCAAGGTGGGCAAGGTGGGCAAGGTGGGCAAGGAGGCACCACCTTTGAGTCTCACTTTGCTCATTACCGCTCCTGGCACCTCCTTCACTGGGCTAATGTGAGATGTCAATCAGTTAAGACACAAAACTGAATTTTACCAGAAAGGGATGGGAGGACATACTGAACATTAAAACCCCCCAAAACAAGATATCCAGTCAAGAAAACCATCACCACCACAACAACAAAAAAGAAGAAAATGGCACATATCACACACAGACTTCTGGATGTGAAACCTGCATTTACTAAAATATTTCTCTAAAAGGGTTTTCTCTTTACAAAGTAAAGTAATTGTTAAGTTGACTGATGTGAAGGACAATAGGAACTATTTACATAAAATGCATGTAAATACATTTTGCAACTTAAAAAAACTGCAACTCATGATAAATATAAAAGGTCTTTTCAAAATCTAGACAGCCTGAGAGAGGTAAATGAATATTACCCAGACAGGTCCCTTCTGTCTGGGAGTTTTCGGTATTCCCACCTGTGGGATGCAAACCCCCAGGATATGTGC